ACCCTATTAACATCTATATTATCAGTGTTTTTATTTCTTCTCAAATATCCTATACATACATAAATACTTTTGTCAAACAAAATAAATAATGAAATCACTTAATTCACTCATCATTCCTAAAATATTGTTTATTCAAATATTCCGCTTAAAAGAAATTAAAATTAAAACAAATTAAGTTCCTTTCAAAAAAAAAAGAAAAGAACATAATAATCAACACCCATTCACTTCCTGATTGTACAAAAATTTAACACATTACATTATAAAAAGATTAAAACTTCTACTTCATCTTGCATTTAACAAGACTATACATTGACATGCAATAATTAATCTACTACTACACACACACACGCTCTCTCCTCTCTCTCTCTCGCCCTCCCTCCCCCCCTCTCTCTCCCCCCTCTCTCTCTCCATATATATATATATTCCTATAAAGAAGAGTTAATTCACAAATATACCATAGTGACATGACATGAGAAAAGAATTTTAAGAGAAATAAAAAAAGTCATTTTAAATGATTACATAATCGAAATTGATGTTTTGTTTCCCTTCTTGTTTTTTTTTCTTTGTTGTTTTTCCTTCTTTATTTTTCTCATTTCCAAATATGATTCCATGACAATTTTAAACAAAAAATTGAATATTTTATTTTATTCTTTTTAAATATTTTTCTGTTTTGTTTTATGAATAACATTCATAATAAATTGGATCCACGAAGAAAGAAACGATAAAGAGAGTAAAATGATTTGATTTTTCATTCGTTTTTGTGATCCCTTGTTGTTAGTGTCGCTGTATTTGATTGTATGTTTGTTTTTCTTTCAAGTTGGAATAAAATACAGTCAGTCACATAAGTAATAGTTGAATCTTTTCTGAATGTTTACAATGTTAATGACTTTTTATAACTCAACCTATTTCATTCCTTTGTTTATAATGTTTTTTTTCTACTTTCATTTCACTATTCATATTTAATATGATCATAATTGTGACGAGTTGGGGTTCTTTTTCCATCACATACACATACACACACACACATACGTACGTATTATCTTTTGCTGTGTCTCCTGCTCATTCATTCACCATGTCTTCCTTATTTATTTGCTCTCCATTTTAGAGATTTCAAGATTTCAATTTCCCTTTTTCATTTGAAATTGAAATTTGATATTCGTTAAAAATTTGAACAAAAGGAAAAATGAGGAGAAAGACACCAAAAAAAAACCCAGACGAAATAAAGAAAAGTACAGAATAAAATTTCATGAAAGAACTTTCTTTCACTTTATTAAGAATAATTTCTTAGTAACATGAATGAACGAATAAATAAATTAGTAAACATGAATAGATAATTACAGACAAACGTTGCTAACCTATAAAAAACTGAAGAATCATTGAATGATTGGAGCATGTTAGGTATGAGGTAAATACCTACTAATGACTTTGAAAGATAGTTACACAATATTTCTAATCGATTGAAGTTGGAAATGTAATCCATTGAGTGCCAACTCAATGATTTAAAGGTTAGACGTTTACTATGAAGAGTTTAAACTCAACTCGTGGTGTAGGATCATGGATGTGCGAATTCTGAGAAGCTTCATACTAAGTTGAGACAGCTTTCCAAGTGCTCCCTGGCTTTTAATAGTTCATGAAAAATACCAACTGCATATGTGATCAAATTGTTCAAAATATAAAAAAACTTAACCATCTTACAACATCAGTCAAACAAACTAAAAGATATACGTGTATTGATACTGCATATTTTTGCTTTTAAAATACATTTGATTGTTTCATGGCTAATCATTATGCTGTCAATATCATCTCGTACACTGTACGTATTGATGACCAATTGCTAAATAATCTAAATGTGAATAAGTTAGAAAGGAATGTGAATATATGAATGATACAAATAGGTGAACTTAATACGTTACATAAATTATGTACTTATTATGACGTATCTTTATGGTATTTACTTTATAATAATTTATGAGAAACTAAATAAGATACTTTGTATGACAGGTCCTATATATAACACTGTTAAACCAAGCATCAAAGTGTATTCATTTTAGTCAACAGATATTATAAGAGAGAAAGCCTGAAAAACCACAGTGAGAAAACAGTACATTATTAATAACAATAAAGGTGATGACAAATAAAATCTAATTGAGAAATGAACGAAATAGTTGTGAATAACAAAAAGAAATATGTTCCAACAAGTCTGATTTTATAGATATTGTCCTCTCAAGCCGGTCTACCAGTTAAGGTTAAAAGTTCACTTTGTACCGAATCAATATAGATTTTAAAAATTTTCTTGATCTTGTGGGAGAAGTTATAATGGCCACACTAAACGATCAGTTTCCAAACGCGTTTAAAAATAATACTTCGAGTGGCTTTTAAAAGCGGGATCTAAAGTTATCATCAACTCAATACAGGAACAACTGATCAACTCTGGACACTGTAGTGATAAATAAATCCCCAAAATAAATAGCTCTGTAAGTTTTCGACATTAAATGCTGATCACATGTTTTAATGGACTCACCTAGCTGAACGCGCTCGTTCATGCATCCGCACCAGATCACGAGTGGGAACGCCGTGCTCAACGTCTACTGCAATCGCTAGTCAGATTAGATCAGACGATCCTCGATATATTGATAGCTTATCAAATATACCTTCGAACCTCCTTGCTTCTGTCTTCTGATTTCCTTTGGTGGGTACGCTTCATATAGGTGTTACTGGTTAAAGCGTTGTCAAACTCCGAATACCTGTGGCATCTTCAACACGTTACTTCACAGAAGTCATCCTTGAAAGTAATCTATACAACCAAAAGAATTAGACCAAACGGAGGTTGAAACAAAGACCTATGCACGGCTGAACAGTTGACGATCCATCAATTCAAGGCCGGACTATCTGTGCAAAAACGAAATGTCTAACCGCTCACCCTTCCTTGGTCCTTATCCCCTTACCCAGTACGTTTTGACAGTTCTTATTTTGTAATTTTCTTAAAAACGAAATCACGTATTATTCTCCTCTAACTATTTGTCATGATTATCCTATTATTGTGAGCTTTACGTTTTTCATTTCCTTTCATATCTGTCAAGTAGGTAATTGTCTCATATTTCCGACCGGTAAATTATTTTCATCCTCCAATCCTTCTCCAACCCTGGGATCATTACGCGTCCTACTTTTGATATTTTAAATCTCGGATCACTTTACAACCTATTTCCCTACAGACATATATTTGTCGAACTATAAACACGAATGTATAGCTTGAGTAGATGATTTCCTTGAAAAGAGAATTTTATTCGTTGAATCCTTTTCATTTTTATGACAGTGAGATACTTTCAATAATAACACATCTATGGTTATTATATTATTATTATTCGTTAAACCCGCTTTTTGCATCTGATAATAATAATGATATAAACGCACTTCTACGTTAAATCTTACAATGATAGGTTACAGTAGTTTCAACAAATTTACTGACCATTTTAGTTTTGGAGATATGATGACAGTGTCAGGAGCAAGGTGAAGGTATATTCCTCATGTATGTTGCCCAGTAAATTTAAGCGCATGAATGTTTGATACTGTGATGAGTTGTTGATTGATTGATACGCATACCTCCTGTCAATTCGTTAAAAACTATTAATATTCAGAATTTCTCAGTCATCCAGTAGACTTCTCTAACCCATGTGATTCGCGTTTTATTACGTTTACCTTTCAGTATTTCGGGAAACAACTCTACCCTCCTTATGATTCTCACAATAAATTAATTTAAAAACATAAAAGCTGAATATTACTATACTGAATTTTTTTAACTCATATGGCATTTAACCTTGTCTGATATATTTTGGGTATCTGGTACGTTCCCAATTTTAATCATAAAAGAACGAATTTTAATTGAGTCCTTTTCAAGTTAGCAATAAAGCGTGCTTTTTGTTACGCATTAAAACAGTCTAAAAACCATTGAACGCTAGGATGATTGTTAGATTTAAGCTGGAACTAACTCTACAGCGTGATCTGGGGGAACCATACAGAAGTGAACCCCAGAATTAGGAATCACCAGGCGAGCACAGTACTCCTTAAACCCAAACAACAGTTCGACGATCGATATTTTCAGCTCGTCAATAAATGACAGCGCGACGGATGGTCACAAACATTCTGACTAAAACGAACGAGATATATTCACAAATATTTACTTAAGTCCTTACATCAATCAAATTAACTTGTTTTTTCTACTTGTTTAAATGACTTTTTGAACTGGTTTTAAGAATAATTCTTTTGAATACTGGGTGAAGGATTGAATTTGACGCTATTCTTGTAGTATTTCAACTTCCGGCATTTTAAATGACGGGTCTGATCAAATAAAAGAAATATTAGTGTCTATGGGATTTCGATCTAGTATGTAGTTTTCTGTAAGTTCAATTATTAAGTACAACTCGTGTATGCTGCTTTTAGTACAAATACGCAGAGGACTTCCATTACTTTAGTTATTTTTTAAAACTGGTCAATGTAAGTAATCAAATATTCCCACTGAAATATTAAAAAGACAGGATGAGAGAAGAAATAGTTCTTCTCAATTAGTTCTTCATCAGGCCTCTACAGGAAATCGTATCTTTGCAGTACTCCATGGCATTAAGTCATTGGCAACTGAACTGCTTCATTTAAATAGTTGTAGGCTACCTAGTTGGATTCCATGTGATTATCGTAACCAGTGGTTGGGTTTCGAGTGACATCTCAGAATCTTTCGCCATAGCACACGTCCATTTAATTCATGTTTTTCTATAGAACCTGAGTCTTGAAATCGCCTTATACCTTTGTTTATCTTTTTCTATATCAAGCCTTTTTCACTACTGATATTTTTATTACTCTATGGTTAGTCAGGAAACAATTTTATCTCGTCATGATAATGTGATATGGTGACCAATGCATATGTCTAGTTCTACGTTGCATATAACTGATTGAACGTCTTCATTTATCCAAATTGCTGAGATTGACTGTTTCCAAACAGAAAAAGTATCTCCACGTTTCCTTTAATATGTATTTCGATATTACAAAAAAGTATGAAAGACAATAGAAGTCGTTAATGTCGTAAAACACGTTTAGATATACAGTAAATAACAACTATCAAAAATGTTTACTGACCCCTATCGTTACGATTAACATTTGTAAAGTAACAAATAAAAAAGATGAGGAAAAAAGAGTAAAAATTATAACCGAACTCAATATGTAAATCATATCAAAAATATATGAATATTAACTGAATAACTTAGTTTCCTTGAACAAAATTAATAATTATGATTCAAGTCCATATTTTTCAATAAGGCATCTAGCTTTATTCACGTACAACGTTTTGGCTTCTTCGCTGCAAATACCTGTAATTTAGAAGTAAACAGTAATAGAATTAACAAGAAACTACTTTCATGACTTTTGCTAGTGTTTTAGCAGGCTCTACGTTGCGTAAGACCGACTGGTGACTTTTTGGGACCATTTATCAAGACAGTGATACATAGACTATTTCTCAAACATCGAAAAGTGAAGCCGCGAGCTGATGGTTGGTAATAAAATAAATCAATGCGAAACACTTTACTGGCTTATACCATCGGTAAGTACAGTCGCTACATTTCGCAAATAACTACACGATGAAATGAGAGTAAAGATACCCAGTTATACCACAAATAGTTTTTCTAAACTTATCTATATGAACTGTAATCCAAGGCCAAAATACGTGTAGTATAGTAAGCTTTTAGGCGGATAATTCAGCCATACGTTTAAAACACCCCTTAGTGAAATTTGCATCCTATCACATGAGTGACCGATATTATGTGAGTTTCTCAATTGCCTTCAACAAATACTCGGAAAAATTGACGGCATTTCGTATCAAACAAAATCAGGATATTTGCACTCATAATTAGCTGAAGACTATGAACTCAGTTCACGGTATATAGGTTTCTCTGTTTGTAGGAGGGTGAATGGTCACTGATCCCTTAAGATTGCCATCAACGAGTATTTGTTGTGGTTATTTGTTAAGCAGCTTAGAAACCTTAATATAATAATTATTAATTGTAAAGCCCAGGATGATTTTGCTACTGAGTTCTAACACTCAGTTGTCATGTTTTAAAAAGCGGTAATACGAATGCGCATATAGAGGCATATATATAAATCGTTACTTTAATCTGTATTTTCTTTCATTCTAAGATTATTCAAGAGCTCAACAATTTTTTATAGTGTATGAGAAATACTTTGAAACAACAAGTTACTAAATAAAGTGAAACTTGTCTTTTACATCCAAAAGGAGTGAAACTCAGGTTGAACCAAATATTTTACATAGTTCAACTACATTGGTTGGACGCACACAACCACCTTTATCTTGTATACTTTTTTTATCTAATTAGCACAATGTTCCAGCATAGAATGCTTCTATTTCTCTGTACATCAAATTAGAATGTACTTCAGGGTCATTGGTTTACGGGTGAATAACAGGGAACCAAGCAGACCAAACGTCACACTACTAATATATTTCTAGACGGTTGTGATGGGGATATCTAACAACGGTTACTAATATTTAGTCTTACGGTTTTACATACTGTCTACAAGTTCAGTTTGTAGCGCACAAGAGTAGCTTATAGAAAAAAGACAAATTAGGCAACAGTAAACAAATTTTTTCCTTGGTAGTCAGGTTAAATTTGTTGTTTATTCCTACGACTGTCATTGTGCTGCATGTTTTAGTTAAAATACACAATACTAAGGTCGATCTTACAATCTTAAATATAAACTATTGGTAAGGAACCACAGTCATGGGGACACACAGTACAATGTATAGCAAATTAAGCAAAAGCACATGTGTCCCAATCATATAAGATTAGTGAGTGATTATTTTGAGTCTCTCCACTCATCCTAAGCATAAAAATTTCCAGATTTAGTCTGCAAAATGCATATTTGTTATAGTGTTGTGGCAACTTGTCATTAATCAAATGGAAAACCTAGCCTATGGGCTTGTGAAGATAGTTTTTACGTACATGCATGCCTGTACTACATGTATATGGCTTTGAACGACTACTTACCCTTTTTTCCATTCCAAGCGTTCCATTTCGCCTTTCCTTTTAGATCGAGGATACCAGGTGCACCTAGTGAATAAACTATAAACTAAAAAACGTACATGTATTGTTGTCACCAACCGTAGCTTGTTTGTACAAGCCGTAAAGTTCGAGGAGATCATTATCATTAGGTTTTGTTTTAAGCTTTTTGACTTTTTCAGCGTGACTGTTAAATTCCTAAAAAAACATAAAGTTAGGCAAGTATAAATACCTCCATAGTAACCATGGTCCCTATGTCACTACACCAAGGTCGAGATTGTATTACGCGCTGTAAGTTTTAAGTCCACTGATTTAGTTTCAACCGTGTTTTGGACACTTGTTTGAATGTGCATGGTGAGCGTGCGGTTTAACTTGAAGTTTTTGAAGCGTTGATTTATTAGCACGTTTTTACTGCTATGGTTTCCGCACTATTTAAAAAGGACAGTGGTATTTTTCCTCGCTGAGTAAATTTCATTGTTTTGATCGTTTATTACGTATCAAGACTACTGTTTTTCACTTTAATTGAATTTATGTCAGTTAAAGTATTCGACTAAAGTATCGTTTTTACTGTTTTGTCGTTGGTACTCTTTAGTACCACTTTTTCAACTATATCCGTTAGTACTTTTGGTCCTAGCAATCTACAGCTCTTCACTTTTTTTGGTCATTGATATTTTTTTTGTTTCTGGGTATCATCGCATATTGAAAAAACCCCTCCTAAATGACCGGACAGTGTAAAAAAAGCAGTTGCCAACGTCCGGGTTGTCGTTATCCTGTTGAAAGCGGCATGCAGTGCGACGAGTGCAAAGGCTGGTACCACGAAGTTTGCACGAACTTAACGCCTGCTGCTTTCAAACGGTTCAGTAAGAAGGGTTGTGTGTGGCTTTGTCAACAGTGCTGCTCGGATGCAAACAGCTTGTTAACCGAGGCTATCTCACTGGTTGATGCTGCCAATAAGTGTTTCAACAAGCATAGTCGGAACGCGTCAAACAGCACTCGATCTGTTGACACGCAAATCAATGTGAAGGAAACTAAGGTGAGTCCGGTGATAGATGACTCACGCCCATCGAAGAAGGAAAAGCAGTCTCCAAAGGGGTCTGCCTTAAAAAAAAGCTCAAGCAAAGTAGGGTCTTCTGTTCCCCGTCTCCCAGATGGGATCCAACAGGAAACACCTAGGAGCCGCAATCGCAAGGCTCGATCGGTTTCAAATGGTAAACATAACACGACCCCTCAGGTCGTCGACAACCCCCCAAAACCCAACACTAGTTTTGACGCAACTGCTATTGCTTCTACCAGCAGCGTTAACGAATGGGTAAAGGTTGTAAGGAAGAAAAGTATTGATATAAAAGGGAAACCTGCCCCCGTAAAAGTGGTTGAAAAATCGAAAGCTGATCATAGCGACAGATCAGCTATTTTTCATAGAATTAAGGAGAGCGATAGCTCTGAACCTAAAGCTCGTTTTGAGCATGACATTGTACTGATTAGGCAGCTGCTTAATCAACTCATGCCTCAAAATATGACTGGGGTCACCTTGCTAAAGGTGTATAGACTAGGGAGTCTAACGGACTCGAAACCAAATCATTCCAGACTGCTTAAAGTAGTATTCGGCTCTTCAAACGAACGTGACCTAATTTTACAAAATGGACACAAATTAAAGGGTTCGAGAGTCTTTATCCGAAAGGACCTACCGTTGGCAGACCGTGTTAAAAGACGGGAAGCCGAGAAAGAACTACAACATAGGTTAGACGCTGGCGAAAAGGACCTGAAAATTGTAAATTTTCGGGTTGTAAGACTTCGACAGAGAATGATGCCGAAGCCACTCTGGGTGAAGCACGAAGGCACCTAAACAGGCTTCGGATCTGTTACACCAATGCACGAAGCTTACTTAATAAGCGACCGGAACTAGGTGTACAGATTGACTCTATAAAGCCAGATATAATCGCAGTAACAGAAATCTGGCTGACACAGGCTATAGATAGTATAGAACTTGATTTCGAGGGCTTTACGTTAGTAAGGGCCGACAGAACACAAAAGCGCAAAGGATGGGGAGTAGCCCTATTCATTAGGAATGCTATCCCATTTACCATTATCGATAGTGTATCCCATGAGAGTGGGACGTGTGAATTAGTTAGTCTTCGCTTAAAATGCAAGGGACAAGAGCTGCTGATTGGTTTGGTCTATCGCAGTCCAAGCTGTGAGGTAAATGAGATCCTGTTAAGCAGTCTCAATACTTGGTCCCAAAGTGGTCGATGTCTAATCCTAGGGGACTTTAATGCACCAATGGTAGACTGGGAAAATCTGCGAACTGAATCGTCAGAAAATTCCTTCGAGCAGGAACTAGTTGATGCGGTTATCACATGTGCCCTAGTGCAACATGTGAAAGAAGCGACTAGGTACGATCCGGACACTGAATCATCCTTATTAGATCTTATACTGACTCACTATGAGGATGATGTTGCGAACCTCCACCATATGCCACCCTTAGGTAAAAGTGACCACGCAGTCTTAACTTTCGACTTCCATATAACTGCCAGTCATGAGGACGCGTCAGTCCAGTCCAGACCCAACGTCTGGAAAGCAAACATACCAGACATCATGCACTCAGCATCGTTAATAGATTGGACAATAGACCCAGAGTCCTCCATTGAAACGGCCTGGGACACATTTCGAAAATCATACTTAAAAGTTACCACACCTCACATCCCTTGGACTATACCAAAGGGGCCGAAAAACTCACCACCATGGTTCAGTAGGGAGGTCCGTATCCTTCTCCATAAGAAAAGGAAAACGTGGGATAGATTTAGGTTACTGGGGACTGATGAGTCAAAATCTCAGTATCGAAAGGCTCGGAACACTTGTGCCTCGACCCTCCGTAAGTCTAGAAAATTGTACGAAGAAAAACTTGTTAAGGAATCCATAGAATGTCCTAAACGCTTGTATTCCTATATAAACCAAAGGACAAGGAGAAAAGGAAATATTCCTGCTCTATGGGGAGACAGTACTGCTTCATCATTAGTGGAGGACGACTTTGGTAAGGCTCAAGCGTTCTCGAACTACTTTAGCAACGTGTATACCATAGAAGCGCCCTTCTCGTCAGCGTATACAGATCCCCCCATACATACACTGGATAGCGTGACCATTAAAGAACTCGATGTCTTTGGTCTGCTAAATAAGCTTGACACAGGTAAATCCACGGGGCCCGATGAATTACATCCTGGGCTACTGAAGGAATTATCTAACTTCGTTGCGAACCCTTTAAGTACATGCTTTAACCTATCCGTTACGCAGGGTCGCTTACCGAAAGATTGGAAAAACGCCATAGTAAGTCCTGTCTTCAAAACAGGCACGAAACATAAACCTGAGAACTACCACCCCGTTAGCCTAACTAGTGTGGTTGTTAAAATATTAGAAAAGATTATTCGGAAGGAGCTGTTTAAGTATCTCGATAAAAACCGGATCCTCTCGGAGAAGCAGCATGGCTTCAGAATAGGTTATTCTTGTCTCACTAACTTATTAGTGGCTCGTGAAAGCTGGTGTGCTCTTAAGGACCAAAAGCTACCTGTAGACGTCACCTTCATTGATTTCAGTAAAGCCTTTGATAAAGTTCCGCACAACCGGCTGTTATATAAGTTAAGACATGTCGGGATTGGAGGTAATTTATTGATGTGGATAAAAGACTTCTTAGTTGGGCGTCAACAAAGAGTAAGGGTGAACTCAAAGTTATCTAGCTGGGAAACTGTGCTTAGTGGAGTGCCCCAGGGTACAGTTTTGGGGCCAGTGCTATTCCTCTTGTATGTAAATGACCTTCCTTGTCTCCTATCATCATCGGTCTTGCTATATGCTGACGATGTCAAGATATGGAGAACGATACGATGTAAGAGTGATAGCTTAGAACTTCACAATGACCTGAAGAAGTTATCTGAATGGTCTCAAACATGGCAGTTGCCGATAAATACTTCCAAGTGTGTTGTGATGCATATCGGTCATCAAGGCACAGATACATACACGATGAATAACACTGAGCTACCTGTCGTCCAGACATATAATGACTTAGGAGTTATCGTTAGTCAAGACTTAAAGACTACTGCACACTGTCGTGCAACAGCCGCCAAAAGTTTTAGAACGTTATGGTCAATACGTAGGGCTTTTAGTCATGTCGACACTAAGACGTTTTTGACTTTGTATACAGTGTTCGTTCGTCCTAAACTTGAGTACTGCATACAAGCGGCTAGCCCCTGCTTTAAAAAAGACAGAGAGCTCCTGGAAACGGTTCAGAGAATGGCGACTAAGCTGGTTCCCGGAATAGCGAAGCTTCCGTATGAATCTCGACTGGCCAAGCTGAACCTTTTCCCGTTGTCATATCGCAGAACTAGAGGCGACTTGATTACAGTCTACAAATTGCTTAGTGATAAGTTTGCACCTAACATGCCCTCATTTTTCTTGTCTTCCAAAACAGAGAATTTACGAGGACACTCCAAAAAAGTTCATAAGCCGAGAACAAATTACTTGTCAGCTGACTATCGACTTTCCCATCGAATCATCAACGAGTGGAATTCACTACCTCAGCACGTGGTTGAGGCTCCATCCGTCGACTCTTTCAAAAGAAAGTTGGATCAACTGAGAGACCACCATTGCCAGGACTAACATAGGCCATCGAGCCTCCTGTCCTTCCCAAACTGAAACTGAAACTGAAAGTATCTACATTTTGGACCTTCATTGGAAAACAATTCGCATTGATTTACACACGTACACCGACCTACTATTCTTCTTAATGAAGACTCTCTTCTTATGTCTAGTGTTTTTCTGAATTTCTCCTACTTAAGTGCACACCTAGTGTATGATATCGATTTTCGGGATGGTCTTTACTTATGGGTTTTTGTGCTTCTTTTCTCAAACATTTGTCCACTAAGCATACATCTATCGTTAACGTAGTAAGCAGTGTCGTAAATAATTCACAGCTTTTTGTTAATCTAAATGATGGATGAAGGGAAATGTTCTGATTTCACCTTTTTATTTAAAACTACGAAAAATTCGGAAATTTTCAAACAGTTTTACTTAGGGAATAAGATTTCATTTTTCACTCAGTCCCTGGCTATATCCTTCCAGCTTTTATATCAGGCCGAAGGTCTGACAAAAGAAATATCATTGTGGAAATGTGAGTCAAACTAGTTACAGAAACCAACTTGGACACTAAATTACACTAAAAGACTCTTCTTGGTAACTGCATGTCTAGCGTACAGATGGCCACATTTATTTTCACTGATAGCCACAAAACATGACTTGCACTAGCTAGCTAGAATATCTAGGTCGGTCTGAATTTCTTGTTTGTCTGTATCTC